CACTCACTTTTCTTTTCTTTTTTCTCTCTTTTTTTGTTCTCCTTCTCAGACAATTCCTTGGAAGTGGCTGTTTGGGGCCACTGCTGTAGCGCTGGGGGGCGTGGCCCTGTCGGTCATCATAGCAGCCAGAAACTAAGGCCAGCCTGCGGTTGATGACTTTCGAAGAATCAGGCTTGGAGATTTGGCCCGTTCTTCCTCCCAACTCCTGCCCCTCTTCCACCACCTGGCCCCCTCAAGGACTGGCATACGACTTTGCACTGGTGTCCCCCTCTGGACTGTAGGTTGACTGAGTGGGGTGGGCACAGCAGGCTTGGCTCTCCTGCCCAGAAAGGCTTCCCAGCCCCCAGAGTTGATGAGAACATCAATGAACCCTTTGCAGGAGATGCCCGGGGTGGCAAGGGAGATCTTTGCACCATCTGGAGCTGCAGAGGTGAGAAGAAAGCCAGAGGGCCTGGGTGTATTTTGCGGGAGAGGGTAGGAAAACGGGCCTTGGCTGGATGCTACCATTCACTTCTCTCTTTCTCTCTCTCTCTCTCTTTCTTTCTCTCTCTCTCTTTCTCGCTCGTGTGGGTTTTCTTCTCCTTGAGCTGTAGGTGGCCCCGCAAAGGATCCGTCAAAATGAAGGAAGGGAATTGCTGGGGCCTGCCTAGCAGGGGGAAAAGAAACCAGGGACTGCGGAAAGTTGCCTTGGCTTTAGAACAGACTTAGGAGGAGGAGCTTAGAAACTGTTTTTAGGCCTGGCCTTTAGGCGGGGTGTAAGAGGTCAGGACTGTGAACACGCTCCTTTAGTGCTCAGGATTGATTTGGGTGGCGCTAGATGGATTTTGGTTTATTCAGCAGCCTTCCACGAAAGCTTCCTTGGAGGACCTCAGGAGTCCATTCTGGTTTGTTCAGCTCTTTCCAGGTTTTGAAAACATGCCTGCAGGGAACGGGGTCTGGGTAACAATCACCCGGATTGTTTTCTTTTAGTTGTCTTCGGGAAGCCAAATCGGGGGCCAAGGAACCTCTCCCATCTTTGCTCGAAATTTGCTTTCCAACTTTACTGGTGGCTTTTCCCCTGACTGTCTGTCTCCTTTTTAAGCCACCAAACCCGAACCCAGTACTGCTTCTCTTTGGTACAGTTTTTCACACGCGCTCTACATTTTAAACTGTGAATACCTGCGACATCCTCATTGTTCTAATAAAGCAACATCTCTCAGCAGATTTTTTTTTAAAGCAATTCCTTTATTCCTGAAAGCAGCTGTGGAATCGTTCGTTTATTTATTCAGTTATTGCCCATTTATCTCCATTTAACTTTAGAAAGTCATAGAACCGTAAAGTTTGAAAATCCCAAAGTAATGGAACATGAACAGGGAAGAAAATGGAGGAGAAACCGCTCTTGGTATCTTCCCAGCCTTCCCCAAATTTGCACCTCCCCATGGGCAGGCAATGACCACTTCCAGAATTCTACAACCAGGATGCTGTTCTTAAAAGTGGTGTGTGTATGTATGTGTGTGTGTGTTTGTGCCTTATAGGGAGAGAGGGAAAAGTTCTATTACTGAAATACCAGCTTCCCTGCAACTACCCAGGGCTGGCCTGTATTACTGTTTCCTGCATATTTCCCCCCCCCCCCCAATTTGGTTTAGAGTACAGGTAGTCCTTGAGTTAACGACCATAATGGAACCTGCCCATCACAGTCAAAACTCATGACAGTTGTAAAGTCATTCAACCCGATTTTACCTTTTCTTTTTTTGTAGTGGTTTAGCAAACCCTGCAGTTAAGTGTTTCTCAGTCATGTATGGACTCCCAGAATTCCCTAGCCAGCATGTCACTTGATTGTGAGATGGGCAGCTATATTAATATGGACGAATGTGAATGAATGAAATCCAGGGGGTTGATGTCTAGATATCTCAAAAGCTGAGATTGAGAACCACCGGTTCAAAGGTTCCATTGTTGCTATCTTCCTTACGTATTTGTGGAGACCCTTTGAAAAAGCCCATGTTTTCCAAACACTGGTATTCATGTCCTTGAACACAGAGGTTTAACAACCTGCGAAAGGCCTTATAGGAAGTTTGAAGTTATTCAAGAAATCCACCCCTCCCCCTTGAAAGCTAGCTAAGGTGCTATCCTGTATTTTGGTAGCAGATCCCACAAATTAATGAAAGTCATTCTGGAATTCCTGCAAGACCATCTTAGCGAGGGGTCTTCAAACTTGGCCCTTTTATGACTTGTGGACTTCAACTCCCAGAATTCCTCAGCCAGGCATGCTGGCTGAGGAATTCTGGGAGTTGAAGTCCACAAGTCATAAAAGGGCCAAGTTTGAAAGCCTGTCATCTAAGCAGACATTTGCACTTGTTCCCATATGGCAGAGGTGGGGAACTATGTCCCTTTTATGACTTGTGGACTTCAGTTCCCAGAATTTCTGATCCAGAGTTGAAGTCCACAAGTCATAAAAGGGACATAGTTCCCCACCTCTGCCATAAGGCAACCTATCACCTTGTCTGCTGTAGCAAACTTTTATTACCCGCTCCCCCCACCCTTGGGAAAAAGATATAAAGACTTTTGTTAAAATAATGATACACAAATATAGTTAGGCTACTTCAGAGAGACCTGAAAATTCTATAAATAATAGGTATCCTACCGGATCAAATGCCTCTAGCCCACTCAGGAAACTGACAAGCAGGAAACAGTTGTTCAGTTTCGCTTTGGGATGAAGTAGTTACTATTGATATACTTAGAGCAGCCTAAAGAAAAGGGAAGCAGTTTTTCCCCCTCAAATACCACATGGGCAATGGGTGGGGAATTAGGGGTTTAAATTTTTTCTTGAGCACCGAACTAGGCAGACTACAAAGTGTGCAGTTTAAATGGGGATAGTTGGATCGCCCTCAATATACTCTTAACATTTTTATTTTTGTCAAATTTAGATACCACTCAACCCACTCCCACATTCCAGTCAAAACTGGAACCTAAAGACAGTGCACAAGATAAATTTGCCCTTGTTTCCATATCCTTGGCAGAATTGCAACATTAAACAAACCTGCACAAAAGTTCCCAGAGGGCTGTTTAGCTTAACACACCTCCTGGCAGTCTGCCTCTTCTTCAATACTGATCCAAGAAAAATGATCCTGTAAACTCACAATTTGTTCTGACATCCTCAAGCATCTGCCATAGACTGCCTTCCTGCCTTTGAATGTGGATCCAGGTATCATTCAGTAGATTTGACATTTTCCATATTTTAAAATACAGATAGGCCTTGATTTAGAACGATGTGTTTAGTGACCATTGGAAGTTACAAATGGCACCGAAAATTGACCAGTTATCACACAAGTCACATGATCAAAATTTGGCAACCAGCATGTATTTACAATGCTAGCAGTATTTGTGATCTTCCCAGCTGGCTTCTGACATGCAAAGTCAATGGGGGAAGTGGGATATGCTTTATGACAGCATGGTTCACTTAATTACAGTGATTAGTTCAGGGGTTTCAAAGTTGGCCCTTTTATGACTTGTGGACTTTAACTCCCAGAATTCCTCAGCCAGGCACGCGTGCCTGGCTGAGGAATTCTGGGAGTTGAAGTCCACAAGTCATAAAAGGGCCAACTTTGAAGACCCCTGGATTAGTTTATCGATTGTGGCAAAGGAGGTTGTAAAATCAGTCACAACTCACTTAGCAACCATCTTACTTAGCAAAGAAAGTTTTGGTCCCAAGTGTGGTTGTAAGTCAAAATCCACTTGTAAACTATTGTAGTTCTCGTTTAGCAACTATAATTGGAACCGTCAACTATTAAGTGAAGCCATCACTGTGAAACTGCAACTCTGCTTATCTTTTAGCTTTTCTTTGCTGAACAGACCTGCAGATTGTAAATGCCAGAATTAATCACAAAGTCACTTTTTCTTCACCCTCATAACTGCAAATGGTTGCTAAGCAGGCCAGTCAATAAAGGAGGACTACCTGTGTATAGGCAACCAACTGACCATTTATTTCCCTATCTTCCTCCAACAGCCAGTCCTTGGTATCAGGACCAGCTTTATTTTATTAGGAGGAACCACCATGTTATTCAATCACTAAGTCATGTCTGACTCTTCACAACCCCGTGGACTATAGCCCCCCCAGCCCCTCCTTCCATTATCTCAGTTTGTCCAAATTCATGTTCATTGCGTTGGTGACACTATCTAACCATCTCATCCTTTGCTTGTCCCCTTCTGGCAATCCACTCCTTTATCCTTGTCAAGAAAACCCCATGGATAGTATAAAAAGACCACTGACATAGCAAACATAGCCTGCACTACAGCTGCAGTGGCCCCTACATGAGGTTTGAATAAGTAAGTAATCAATTTTTCCATTCAGAATAATGCTATAAGTAATCATTTTTTTTCTATTCTGAATAATGCTAAGTTCCAAACAGGAGACAAACTTTCATATTAGCTTCTTCCCATCCTCACAGTCCTGCAGAAGATGAAAATGGGATTCTTCCAGAGGGTGCTCGGGAATTGCGTAGTGATGCCATTTCCAGTTTCTTATTCTTAGATACTATTTTAAACACTTCAACCTTTTAACCTGTTCCTTTTTTTAATACTCTGTAAGCCACTTAAGAATCTGGTTTCAGGCAGTCAAGATTATTTTTTTTTAATCAAAATAAGTTTATTCTTTTAAAAAAATACAATGTCTACTTTTGTGTCATACACAGCATCACACTTAGTCACAATCATACTTTACCATCATTTAAGAATCCCAACTGCTGTTTGTACAGTACAGCACAACCTCTTTTCCCTCCCACCCACTCCCTTTATACCAGTGTTTCTCAAACCTTGACAATTTTAAGGCATGTGGACTTCAACTCCCAGAATTCCACAGCCAGCAATGCTGGCTGTGGAATTCTGGGAGTTGAAGTCCACATGCCTTAAAATTGTCAAGGTTGAGAAACACTGCTTTATACAGTCTGTTTTCAGCACATCCTCTGAATTCTTAAGTTTATCCTAAGTTGGTGCTGGACCCACAGAACACAACAGTCAGAAATGCGTCCCCGGGTAAATGGAAAGAGGCTTTATTGTAGACAAGGAAAGAAGAGAGTCAAGGCTGCAGAGACTTTTCTAAGCTAGCAACTGAGAGCCTGCTCATTTTCATAGGGCGATTCTAAAGGCGCGGTAGGAACATCCACACCATCAGTGCTCCTTGGGCTTGTCCTCCCCGCCGGGACTCGGATCGGCTGGTTTCACATCGATGGGGATGGTTTGTTGGGCGGACTCGGACTCGGCCAGGCGCGGGGCCTCGATGCACAGCTGTCCATCCGGATTCAGCGAGCAACTGATGGCCTGAAGGTCCACATCAGGAGGCAGGAGAGTCTCCCGGCGCAACTCTTGATGCTCCACCCAGAAGCCGCTGTCTTTGCCCTGGCTCTCCCTCTGGCGCTTGGCGGTCACCGTCACTTTCCTCCCCTCCAGGTTCACCGTCATCTCCTCGGGCGTAAAGCCGGCCACGTCCACCGAGACGCGGTAATGGTTTTTCTCCCCGGCCGGGCAGGTGTTCTCCTCCGAGGCTTCCTTCTGGCTTTCGCGCTCCCCGAAGGGCAGCGGCGTCGCCTGGAAGAAGGCGCGGCTCATCTTCTCCATCTCTTGGAATTGCCTCTCCATGTCGCCCATCACGCGGTCCACGAAGCTGGGGCTGGCCGGCCACAGGAGCCTGCACGCCGGTTGCGGCTCGCTGAGCCAGACGGGGCCTAGGCCGGGCAGAGGCCAACGCCGCAGCGGGAGCATCCGAAGCAGGACGCGAGAGTAGCTCGCCATGGTGGCAACGCAGAAGACGCTCCCCCAAACAAGACAAGAGACCACGAGCTCGATTTATCTCTGGCTGGGCGAACAACCCGGTGCCGCCTTTTATAGTCCCACCAAGCCCCGCCTCCTCAAGCGGCTAAAGCGGCGCGGCCTTGGTTGTGTTTATGACGCAACAGCGTGTAAGATGTTTCCAAACAAGTCTGGAAAGCCGGCGGTGGCTCCAGAGGCGCCGAGAAGAAAGAGTAAAAAATCAAGGTCGTGACAGTGCCAGCCCCGCTTGCTCCTTAATCTGCCTTAAGGGCAAACTAGGCAAAACGCGTTTGCGCTCTAGCAGCTTCTAGAAAAAACCCAGTTTGTCCTAGACACGGGACAGGCTGCTCGGTCGGCATTCACACACCTCCAAAGCTACCAACTATTTTTCCCCCAAGGCTAGCGGTGTCAATATTGCCAGGAGCTGGCCCGCTGCTTTTGAGAATGGAGTCCAGAAAAACACAGTGGTGTGGCCTCAGTTTCAAAACCCGGCCTTTCCCCTCTTCTTCTGTTCCAGATGTTTTGTACAATAACCCTGCAGAGGAGCGTCAGCATTGGGTTTTTTTTTGAGAGGATACTAAGAAGAACATGGGGCATAAAGACTTCCCTTCACCCTAGAAATGTGCGAGACGGGGGATGAGTTAAGACTCCATGTGCAGAGATTGGTAACTGCAAACACAGAACAAAGCTCTGGAGTCTTAATTTTGCTTCGGGAGAGGCAGCAAATCCTCAATGATATACAGTGTAGAAGCAGGTGGATTTAAGGATTAGAAAGCCTAGAGAGACTTTTTTCTCTTATCTTTCAAATCACTGCAAAAGAAGAAAAAAAAAACCCATCTTTTTGCTGCCATAATTTTAACTTTTTTGCTTAAGGAGATCCTCAGTCATCTAAGTCATGATTGTCCCAAAGGTGCTTTTCCCAAAGGCAACTGGACTTTCTTGACTTTTTTCCTTGAAAACTTTTTACTTCTCATTCAAGAAGCTTTTTCAGTTCTGTACATTTTCTGTACATTCCGTACTTATATTTTTGCCCATTATTCAGAGTTTTAAGAAAGGAGAGGATGGCTTCATCCAAATTTTCAGATAGACAAGGCAAAATTATCCATGGGAAAATGGGCCATTTTGCCACCTAATTTAATGGCATGCTCACAAATGGGGTGGCCTGTATGGAGATACAAGGGAACATTTAATGCCCCCAGATAGTGTGTGACTGCTCTCTGCTGATTAAGGGGTGAAGATCAATTGCAACATGTCACCTAGTCTGCACACCTTTCCTGTTCAAACTGCATCAGTGCATCAGACAACTTATGTGACCCAGTCATGCACCCCATGAGAAACAGGAAAGGTAAAATCAGTTGATCAGGATGATATACCATAACTTCTGGTTTATTCATTTTCAGTTTATAACATTAGAACCACATCTAATCCAAAATCCAATCTGGGCAGATGGAAAGATTTGTCTGCATTGTGTTGTCAGAAAGTTCTTGGTACATGTGATAGTTGAAACTGGAATACAAATTCAGAGAGCCTAGAGCAGCCTTAGCCTTAACACCACAGTATAATAAACTAGGATATTGCATTAAGTCCTATCTCCTGCTGGTGCAAATCTATTAGCAAATGAGTCCATGGCAGTGGTGGGATTCAGCCAGTTCACACCAGTTCAGCAGAACCGGTAGCCCAGGCCCAGAATGGACTTCCGGAAGCGGCATCCACACAGAGAACCAATTGTTCACAGATTTGAATCCCACCACTGGTCCATGGTGACTTTTTTCCCACCTGTAATCTTGTACCATCATGTGTCAACACATGAAATGGAAAAAAAACAGTGCTCTGCATAGTGGAGGATGTTACTCTATATCTTATTTTGGGGTACAAGTTTTGAATTCAAGCTGTTCATATACCGGTATGTTCTGTATAGCCAACAAAGAAGAATATGTGTGTGTGTGTGTGTGTGTGTATGCATGTGTATGCGTGCACATGTGTGGTTTTTTGTGTGTGTGTGTGTGTGTGTATGCTAGTCCAGCGGCCCCCAACCTTTTGGGCACCAGAGACCAGTTCAATGGAGAGAGGCTTTTCTGCAGACTGGAGGGGACATGGTTTCGTGTGCTGCCTGCATCCCGTATGTGTGCACGGATGGGGCTTCGCTTGTTTGTGAGGACCGGTTTCTGGCACGCTGCTGACCAGTTGTCATCCACAGATTGGGAATTGGGAATCCCTATTCTAGACATTGTTGATTCCTGGTGACTTTCTGGACAAATCCCTGCAGTTTTCTGGGCAAGACAAGTGGTCTGCCATTGCTTCCTTCTAGGGCTGAGAGAGAGTGACTGGCCCAAAGCCATTCAACTGGCTTTTTGCCTAAGGCAGGACTATAATTCACAGCTGCCCACTTTCTAGCTTGCTACCTTAAACACTAGAGCAGGGGTAGGCAACCTTGCCTCTTTTATGACTCGTGGACTTCAACTCCCAGAATTCCTGAGCCAGCATACCTATGCTGGCTCAGGAATTCTGGGAGTTGAAGTCCACGAGTCATAAAAGAGCAAAGGTTGCCTACCCCTGCACTAGACCATACTGGCTTTCAAACAGGAAGAAGGGAAGTAGAAACTACCTTTAACTTGCTCACAAGTAGTCCTAATGGCTAGTTTTTATAGAGGGCAGATCATTCAGGATGCTTACAGACAAAACCTATCAGGTAATAGCACTCAGTGACAAGATTTCTAAATAATAATTGGTGTATAATGTGTTGTCTGGACCCAGCCAATTAGGGCTAAGTGAATAAATCTTGTTAAGGAAATCATGACAATACTCAGCATTTTTTGAGGGACTGCCTCATTCCAATTACCTTCATATGTTCCATCAGGTCTAGCACAAATGGCGTATTGCGGTTCGCGTCCACAAAGGAGTGTGGTATCTGATGGGACCAGGAGGAGAGCATTTTCTGCTGCAGTGCCCACTCTTAGTAACATCATTCCCCTGAAGTCAGATTGGCCAGATTGGTTGTTCACCAAAGCACCAGAGGGAAGGAGGAGAAACAATGGTTGGAAACTGATCCAAGAGAGAAGCAACCTGGAATTAAGGAGAAACCTCCTGATAGTGAGGACAATCAACCAGTGGAACAGCTTGCCTCCAGAGATCGTGGGCACTCCATAACTGGAGATTTTAAAGAAGAGGCTAGACCAGTGATGGCGAACCTTTTAGAAACCGAGTGCCCAAACTGCAACCCAAAACCCACTTATGCATCGTCGGGTGCCGGGTGGGTGTGGCCCCTTGGCTGGGTGTGGCCCATTGGGTGGGCGTGGCTGCGGTGGTAACGGCAGACTGGGTGAGACTAAAAAGTTCAATCAGTCAATTCCAACTTTGCAAGATCTTTTTTTTCCCCACGAGAAGTTGAAATTGACTGCTTGATTGAACCTTTTTTTTTTGCGGAGGCCTAAAGTGAAAAGGTTTTATAAAACCCAGCTGAAGACCTAGGACTGGGGTGACGGTGTGCGTGCCCACAGAGAGGGCTCTGAGTGCCGCTTTTGGCACCCGTGCCATAGATTCGCCACCACTGGGCTAGACAGTCATTTGTCTGAGACGGTATAGGTTCTCCTGCTTGAGCAGGGGGCTGGACTAGAAGACCTCCAAGGTCTCTTCCAGCTCTGTTCTATTCTATTCTATTCTATTCTATTCTATTCTATTCTATTCCATTCCATTCCATTCCATTCCATTCCATTCCATTCCATTCTATTCTATTCTATTCTATTCTATTCTATTCTATTCTATTCTATTCTATTCTATTCTATTCTTTGACCTTAGAATAGAAGAATAAAATACTTTATTTGGCCAAGTGTGGTTAGGCACACAAGGAATTTGTCTCTTGTATAGAAGCACTCAGTGTACTTGTAAAACAACAGAGACAAAACAACAACCTTCCTGACGAGCCCAAAGCCATGGGGTTTGCCATCTGGCCTGGACATCCTATGACATTGTTGGAGAGCCTGCTAAATGGTTGTATTTCTAAGAAAATGATGGCACTCTCCCATAGATTATACTTTTAATGGTTTTAGTAGTTTTAAATTTTTTATTTATCTATTTATTTAATTTTCCACCCCCCGCCATCTCCCCTGATTAATGCTTTAATGATTTTTGTGGCTATTTTTTTTTAATTTTGAGAGAGGGGATTTTGAACTCTGCATGCCACCCAGAGTCACAGTGGTGAGATCTATGGCTATATAAATTTAATTAATATTTGCCTAGTGGTGGTTTAATTAAGGCCCAGTTGGCTGGCTATGCATAGCGAGGAAAACATGCCCATAACAGAGATTTTAAAAGCCATTTTCGGGTTTTCTTGGTGGCTAATATCAAATCCTCAAGTTTAGGTTCTGAGTTATCTGGAGAAACCTAGGCAGAGGGAGAAAGTGCTGGAACTTCTTACACTCTGTTGCATCATTCAGGAATCTTGGCCTGTTTCCAGGCGACAGGAGTGATTTTGTGTATGTCTTTTTTCTCAATCTCCACCAGGTGGCAAAGTTGCTAAAACAATTTAAATAATTAAAAGTCATGGCAGGTTATAGAACTGAACACAATCACAGACAGCCTCTGAGTGTTCTTAAAATGATCCATTTACAGGAGAGAATAGAATAGAATAGAATAGAATAAAATAGAATAGAATAGAATAGAAAAAGGAATAGGAACGGAATGGAACGGAACGGAACAGAACAGAACAGAACAGAACGGAATAGAATAGCAGAGTCTGAAGGGACCTTGTGGGTCATCTAGTCCAACCCCCCACCCAAGCAGGAGACCCTACACCAGTGGTTCTCAACCTTTTTAATGCTGCGACCCCAACCAGTCGTAAGTCGAGGACTAAACCGGTCGTAAGTCGAGGACTAAACTGGTCGTAAGTCGAGGACTAAACCGGTCGTAAGTCGAGGACTACCCAACCGGTCATAAGTCGAGGACTTTCCCTGCCCGGGAGCGCCGCGCATGCGTGGTTCCGCCCCCTGCGCCGGCCGAGGCGTAGCTGGCAAGCGGCAGAGACGGAGCAGGTCGACTACCAGCTGGCCCAGCCCAAGGGAGGTAAGGCACCTGCCGGAAAAGGGGAAAAAAATGGCGGACAAAAAAAATGGCGGACAAAAAAAATGGCGGACAAAAAAAATGGCAGATAGCCACTGCCCTACACCATTTCTGACTGGAATTACAGGCAATCCTCACTTAATGATTGTTCAAAATTACAATGGACCTTCCCAGAGCTACTTATGACTCCATTTCAAATTTCCGACGGCTGCCTCCACCTGCCCACCTCCTGTGGTTACATGATCACATTTTGGGCGCTTGGCAATAGCTTCACACTTATGGCTCTTGCAGTGTTCTGCAGTAACATGACTGATTTACAGTATTTTTGGTGGGTTTCCAGCATTTTCTCTTGGTTTCTGGGGGGGGGGAACACCCATTGGAGAAAACTGCCACATTCAGTTAGTGTTCCTTTAATGACCGCCACAAAAAAGGTCGTAAAATCAGGGATGGTCCTGTGGTGATCCGCTTAATGACCACCACGACTTACAACAGTAATTCTGGGGTCAATTACTCTTGTAAATCAAGAGTAATATTTATATTTATCACTAGCAAGACCGTCTATTGTAATTTGTTTAAAACCCTAGCTTCTGTAACGGAGACATGCTGGCTTTTCTAAGCAGAAATTTCCTAAACAAGGAGTAAGCAAGAGCAGTTGTATTCCTCCAGATCAGGGGTCTTCAAACTTGGCAGCTGGCTGGCTGAGGAATTCTGGGAGTTGAAGTCCACAAGTCTTAAAAGTTGCCAAGTTTGAAGACATTTGCTCCAGATATTTTGAATTACAGATTCCCTTCACCCTCACCTGCTCAAAGCCAGTGGTCAAAGACTCTGGAATGCTATTAATTGAATTAACTAATTATTGATACAGGCAGTCCTCGACTTACAGTCATAATTGAGCCCAGAATTTCTGTTGTTAGGTGGGACAGTTGTTAGATGAATTTTGCCCCATTTTACAACCTCTCTTGCCACAGTTGTTAAGTGAATCACTGCCGTTCTTAAGTTAGTAACACGGTTTAGTGAATCTGGCTTCCTCACTGACCTTTGCGTGTTAGAAAGTCGCAAAAGGTGACCACGGTCGCACCCGTGACCGTGGGACATTGCAACCGTCATAAATATGAGTCAATTGCCAAGCATCTGAACTTTGTTCACATGACCATGGGGATGCTGCAACGGTCGTAAGTGTGAAAGACGGTCATAAGTCACTTTTTTTCAGTGCCGTTGTAACTTCAAATGGTCACTAAATGAACTGCTGTAAGTCAAGGGTTACCTGCAGGGCTTTTTTTCTCATAGAACGCCCAGAACGGAGTTCCGGCACCTTTTTTGGATGGAACCTTGTAGGGTAGGCAAGGCGGGTTGTATGATGTGTGTGAGTTCCGGCACCTTTTTTTTTTTTAGAAAAAAAGCACTGGTTACCTGTATTTCCATGTTGTTCTCCAAAACAGCTCCATGACGTGCAACAGGAATAGTTGAAAGCCTCAAAGCCATGACAATTAAAACATATCACAATAAAACTAATAGGCAGAAGTAAATCATGAAAGAAAAACCTAACATCCCCCAAATATTCCCTTCCAAAGTCAGTTTTTCACCTCATTTTGGAAACACAGAGGGGCCACCACTGAGAAGACCCCGTTTGTCTAATTCTGTTCTGAGTATATAAAAACCTTAAATTTTCAGCAGCTAAATTTATGAGTTACTGGCTAATATGAAACTTATAATGGTCACTTAAATGGACAAGTTTCATACTTGCTGACGCTGTGGAATATTGGAATTTTAAAATTCAAATACATTTATAATGGAAAATCAGAAAAGGAGCTACTGTGCTATGTAAGAAAAATATGTATGCTGAAAAAAAAAATCATTGGTCAATTATGCTGAATAACTTTAGATCCTGTTAGTTATTGTACTTGGAAAAGAGCTGTGGAATCTGAGGTGGCCGATTTATCTTTTTCCTGTGGTGGTTGGTTACCTGTTGCATAAAGGACTGAGTCAGCCGTATTACTCATCTTACAGCTTTAAGACGTGCTCAGTGTTTGAGTTTCTACAGAGCAAGAATTCAAATGCTAAAAATAAAACTGACCAGAATACCTGGAGAAACACCTAGTCAAATGCCTTCATTTGATACACCCATTTTACAAATGAGGAACACTGAGGCTGAGAAATGAGTAGAACAAAGAAGAGAAATATATATATTTATTTATTTGCTTTTTCAGGAAATGGATTCCCCTTAGCAAAGTCCTGCTTAAACATACAGAGAATTCCCAGTTTACATTCAGACAATCTCCAATATTCATCTGAGAGCTAGGATTCAAATCTGCTTCTCAATTTACCCTTCAAAGAAATGTTATCCATTGCTAACTGCTCCAGTACTGTATTGTCTGTTTTGGCAAAGGAAGGATGTTGGGCTGAATAAATGGGACTATTCTGATTTTTTTTCTTCATTAACTAAAGTAAACCCCTTTTCAACTTCTTCCCATCCTCCTTTATAAAAGACTTTCTGATCAGGTTCTTACCCCAAAAGCAAATTAAATCGAATGCTTAGACATTGGGAGTGGTCTATTCAGTAGGTAAAACTGTTTACAAAGCTGATAAAAAACTTTTAAAAAAGGAAAAGCTGGCAACCTTTTGACTGAGCAGCAAAAATATAAATATTGGACTGAAACAATCTTTCCAAAACCCTTTTACCACGACTGACCAACATGTCCATATCACCTTTAATTATTCTACATCGCAAATTCTTTCCATGAGAATTCTGGTAAATGAAATAATTCTCTCCAACTCTGCTACCTATCCCCACCCCCCACCATTTCATTTGAGAACTGATCACACCCCCGCAGGGCGTATAATTCCATATCTAAAATATTTATTAGCAGTGCATTTTTTTCTTTAAGGTTCTCAGCAACGTCGTTTTTAAAAAGTCTCTTCCGTCCAGCCTCCTTCATCCCTGAGCCCGGCTGTCTTCTGTGCGTGTGGATTCTTCAGCTGCTGGTTGAGGTTCGTTTCTCACTCGGTTGACCGCGATAGGCACCGTCCTCATGGCTGATTCTGTCACGGGACCTTCGATGCGCAGCTCTCCGTCGCTGGAGATGGAGCAACTGAGCCGATCTCGGTCCACGCTCTGGGGCACGTCCCACGCCCTCCGGAAGAGTTCGTAGCGAAAAGGTCCACTGGGCATCTCAGTGGCCTTCCTGCCCGTCAGAACCACTTTCTCCCCTACCAGCTTCACCACCAGTTCCTGGGGGTCAAATCCAGCCATATCTTGAGTCACCGCAAAGGTGTCATTGGCGCTTGGTGTCTCCAAGCTGTGGATGGTTTCGTGACTGACCATGCTGGTGGTTGTGGGTCGCCAGTTGCTGGTCAGGAGCTCCCACATAGCGTCCATCTCACGCTCCAGCTCCTCAAAGAGCGAACTGGTCCGGGGCCATAAACCTCGGCTTCGCAAGGAGCTCTGAGGGCCTGTCAGGTGCAATCGGCACAGCATCTTGGATTCTCGTCTCGATAAGCTGAGCCTGGTGTGTCTCTTGAATGCTTGGAGCTGCTGTATGCTCTGCCTCCAGGACTCGGCTCCCTTTTATTTAAATCCTCCCCTCGCTGGAATATTTTTGATGTGATGCTTCCTGCAGTAAAGAATTCCACTCATCACTTAGGCACCAGGACAATTACTCAGCCACCCAAACTGGTACCATGAGACAACTTCTCCCCAACTTTCAGCGCTAGCCTCATTTCTTTGGCCTCTGCCTAGTTTATAATTAGGATAACTTTCGCTCTCACTCCGTCCAAAATAGAATCTGGAGTAATGCAAACCAAGACGGGAACAGCTGCTGCCAGTAAACACCCAGACGACATTGCTTAAGTACAAAGGCCTTTATAAACTAATCTGGTTTTTCCTCCAGAATTAACATTTTTCCTTAGGAATCAGAAGAATCAGAAGAAATAGCTAGCTAACAAACATTATATTATCTCATGGACTCCGAATGAAATATTAGACTGCTATAGTTCGTGTACAGGTAGTCCTCAATTTACGATCACAACTCAGCCCAAAATTCATGCTGCTAAGTGAGACATTTGTTCAATGGGTTTTGCCCCATTTTGCGACCTTTCTTGCCACATTTGTTAAGCGAATCACTGCAGTTAAGTTGGTAATGCAGTTGATAAGTGAATCTGGCTCCCCCATTGACTTTGCTTGTCAGAAGGTCACAAAAGGTGTTCACATGATTCCCCAAGACACGGCAATCGGCATAAATATGAACCTGTTGCCAAGCATCCGAATTTTGATCAGGTAATCATGGGGATGCTACAATGGTCATAAGTGTGAAAAATGGTCATAAGTCACTTTTTTCAGTGCCATTGTAACTTTGAATGGTCACTAAACAAACAGTTGTAAGTCAAGGACTACCTATACTGCATTTAGCCACAATGTGATTTATTTGTGGTTTTGTGTGTATCCATCCTCTGTGTCCTGGTAAACCATGCTTGATGGCTGAATGTATCATGTGATCACAGGTACTGGTGGCTTATTTCACTACCAGGATTAACTAAACCAGGGGTAGGCAACCTTGGCTCTTTTAGGACTCGTGGACTTCAACTCCCAGAATTCCTGAGCCAGCCATGCTGAGGGGAAAGGGAGAGGTTTCCAAGCTGAGCCATGCTGGCTCAGGAATTCTGGGAGTTGAAGTCCACGAGTCATAAAAGAGCCAAGGTTGCCTACCCCTGAACTAAACCATAGCTTAGTGTGATTTGTGTACCCATTGCATTTTGTAAACTGTGCTGTATGGGTATTGCTTAATACGATGTACGGTATCAGATGGGACATATTCAGTAAAGAGCTCTTCACCATCCTCAGGTTTGCACAGTAAGTGAACCTAGTTAGCCCAGGTGAGTAGCTGGCTTAAACCACAAAATGTATATGACATTTCTTTCCAGTGATGACATTCATAATTCATTGGGAATCACACAAATAAGAAAAAGGAGCTACGAAGGGTCTGGAAAGAGGCTTAAATCTCCTAAGAGACATTGGGAGTCAGGCAATGTTTTATGGTGGGTTTCTTCCTTGCAGTTGGTGTTGGTTGGTGGGCAGGGATCACCCCGAGGCCCCCCACTTGTAGGGTGCCACAGGGTTCTATACTCTCTCTCCCTTCCTTTTCAACTTCTACATGAAGCTGCTGAGTGAAGTCATCTGCCAGTTTGGAGTTTGGTAGCATCAGTACATGGATGCCCAATTACATCTTTTGACTTCGTTGGCCAAGTGAGGCTACCAAGTTGGCCAAGTGAGGCTATTTTCCAAAGCGCCTGAAGGCAGGACAAGGAGCAACGGGTGGAAACTTACCAAAGAGAGAAGCAACCTAGAACTAAGGAGAAACTTCCTGACAGTTAGAACAATTAACCAGTGGAACAACCTGCCTCCAGAAGCGGTGAATGCTCCAACACTGAAAGTTTTTAAGAAGAGACTGGACAGCCATTTGTCTGAAATGGTATAGGGTTTCCTGCCTGAACAGGGGGTTGGACTAGATGACCTCCAAGGTCCCTTCCAACTTTATCATTATTATTATTATTATGGCTAGTTTATAATATTATATTATACTGTCCAGTGCCTGGAGGTTTGGGTAGGGAGGAGTCATTTCCAGCTAGTCCTACCGAGACCAAATGGTTGGACCACCCAGATGTGGGGATATTCCAACTTTAACCTTGGATGGGTTTACACTTTCCCATTTTAAGGATGATGCCTATTTTGGATGTCTTCCTGGACTCGCAGTTCCTCAGAAGAAGCAATGGATGGATGCTAATCAAGGAGAGAACCAACCTCGAACTAAGGAGAAATTTCCTATCAGAACAATTAATCAGTGGAACAACTTGCCACCAGAAGTTGTGGGTGCTCCAAGACTGGAGGTTTTTAAGATGAGACTGGACAACCATTTATCTGAAATGATATAGGGTCTCCTGCTTGAGCTGGGGGCTGGACTAGAAGACCTTCAATGTGCCGTCCAACTCTGTTATTCTGTTTTTCTATTAATGAGCAGGCGGTAGCTGCAGACAGGAAATCTTTGCACACAGCTTTACCTGGTGTGCCAGTTGTGCCCTTGTCACCTCATAGCTTGACTACTGCAATGTGCTTTATATGGGGCTGACCTTGAAGACCACCTGGAAGCTTCAGCTGATCCAGAATGATGTGGTGCAGATAGTAATAGGCATACTTTGATATTACTCGTGTAAGACCATTGATTCACATGCTTCACTGGTTGCCAGTTTGCTCCCGGTGTGATTCATGGTGCTGGTTACTACTTAGAAAGCACTATGCCCCACAGGGCTGGGTTACTTGATTACTGGTTATCTCAGGGGCTGCCACAAAGAAGAGGGAGTCAAGCTATTCTCCAAAGCGCCTGAGGGCAGGACAAGAAGCAACAGATGGAAACAAACCAAAGAGAGAAGCAACCTAGAACTAAGAAGAAACTTCCTGACAGTCAGAACAATTAACCAGTGGAACAACCTGCCTCCAGAAGTGGTGAATGCTTCAACACTGGAAGTTTTTAAGAAGAGACTGGACAGCCATTTGTCTGAAATGATATAGGGTTGGACTAGAAGACCTCCAAGGTCCCTAAAGACCTGACTCTTCACCGAGGCCTTTGGAGAGGATAACTGATGCTTCTTTCTTCCTTTCTGTACCCATCTGCCATCATTGTCCCTTCATCTTGTACTGTTTTAATATGTTCTGTATCCTTTGTTTTTTTTAAGGTTTTAACAATTGTAAACTGCCCAGAGTTGCTGGGAGTTAGGCAGCATATGAATTTAATATATGGGTTGGTCACATAGTCATTTGGCATTTTTATCTACCTATTGAGTCCTTCCCAAAGAACCTATCGGCAAATGTTGGTGTTTGATGGTGTTAAATATATTATTGCAGGATGTAAGCTGTTCCAAATAAGAGCTCCCTTTTGCAATTGACTAATGGGGATTTTGTTAATGCCGACAGTGTTTCAAGCGATGCTCCAGATCAGGGGTAGTCAACCTTGGCTCTTTTATGACTCGTGGACTTCAACTCCCAGAATTCCTGAGCCAGCACAGCTGGCTCAGGAATTCTGGGAGTTGAAGTCCACGAGTCATAAAAGAGCCAAGGTTGACTACCCCTGCTCCAGATGTTCTGGGATGCCATCCAAAGCATCTATTATTAGTAGTACTATCTTTTGACATTAATTACTTATTATATACATTTAGCTAGTTACAATAATAATAATTTAATGTTAATGGTTAATATTAAAAAGCAAACATGGCTAAATGAAAGCATGTCATTACCTGGATTGATTTTGAAAAAGGTAAACAATCTCAGGTCTGGTAAATATTTGAATGGGAGATTACTGAACCAGGACATTGAGACAATATCTAAAAAGACAACAATGATTATCCGGTTCTGTACTGCTGGGAAGAAAATTACAGGAACGTGTTAACTAACTGTCTGGAACTGAACTTGATCCAAGGACGGACTTTTCCTTTAACCGGAAAAGAGGGAATGATTAGTGGTTGTTTCCACATCACCCATTCCCCAATTCAGGCAGGAATGAGCCGCCACTTTTATGACCTTTTTTAGAATATGGATAGTCCCTGAATTATGATCATCATGGAGCATGCGATGGTGGTTAGGCGAACATGGCGGTCAGAAAATGAACCCATTGTTCACTATGGCATAGTTTTGCCAGAAAAAGTGGAAGTAAGTGCTGGCTTTGTTATACCGTATATCCCTTTGTAAAACATGGTCATCTGCCTTCGGGATGCTGCAAACAGCTGTAAATGCCGACATGTTGCTGAGGGCTTAAGTGTGGTCATGTGACTGTGGAATGGATAGACAACTGTTAGGACTTCAGATCCAGGTCGTAAGTCCCCTTATTTTGGGTCCATCATAACTTCAGTCACTAAGTGACCGGTTGTAAGTCGGGGACTACCTGTAGTTAAGACATGGCTCTTCTAAGAAGGCCTTTGGAGATTAACAGGCGTAGTAAGATGTGCATCGTGATCTATATTATTATCAATATTTTATGGTGATGATATGCCATTGTGAAATAGTTGTACTAGGGGCAACATGATAGCAGTCTTCCAATATCTCAGGGGCTGCCACAAAGAAGAGGGGGGTCAAGTTATTCTCCAAACCACCTGAAGGCAGGGCAAGAAACAACGGATGGAAACTAATCAAGGGGAGAAGCAACCTAGAACTAAGGACAATTTTCCTGAGAGAACAATTAATCAGTGGAACAACCTGCCTCCAGAAGTTGTGAGTGCTCCAAAACTGGAGATTTTTAAGAAGAGATTGGGCAACCATTTGTCTGAAATGGTATAGGATTTCCTGCCTGAGCAGGGGGTTGGACTAGAAGACCTCCAAGGTCCCTTCCAACTCTGTTATTCTGTTATACTAGGCTATGATTGTATTTAAACTTTGTCTAGAACAGTGATGGCAAATCTTTTAGACACCGAGTGCCCCCAAAACTGTCCCACCCTGCCCCACCCCACTCCGCCCCACCCCTTCACTCCCCCTGCCCGGAGGGCCACCTATCGCCTCCACGGCCCGCAGCAGATTGCCCAGGCAGCCCTGCAGCACCATGGTGGCCACGCCCTCTGCCCGCGCCCCGCAACATCATCTGCACGCAACGGGGCACAAGGGCGGAGTTTTGTCCCTGCTGCCCAGCTGCCATGT